CACTGAGATAACACCGTGAACTCTGCAGCTCCACTGAGCTCACATGCCAAGTATGTAGAAAAATAGGTGTTTCCCACATTACTCACTGCAGAAAATACAGAGAATGAAGCGCTGCCCGCACCAGCGCCTGCCTCCATGCCTCCCAAGCCTTTCCTTCCCCGCCAGCCCAAGCACAGACACAGACTATGCTGCCCTCCCACATTTCATGGGATATTTTTCTATAGGAAAAAGCAAGCAACTGCAGAATGCAGGCAAATGGACATGGCTCACAGCCCAGGCTTGACTCCCTATCGCTGCATCTTACCTCGTCCTTGTACTTGGTGATGTAAGAGTAGATCTCGTGCAGTGCGCTCATACTGTTGAACTGGCTGAGATGTAGCCGTGACTGCTCCGCCAGGTACGCGCTCATGTCCTGGTCACTGATTGCTGGCATTTTAGCTATATCTGCATAATATCTGCAGGGGAGAAAGAGAAGAGTGGGTCAGAAATAGGGACAGACAGAAGAGGATGGAACACCACCGTGACACTCGCTGAGAACAGCCACTGGAGAGGCAAGGTGAGAGCATCTTGCCTCCAAGCAGAGACATACTGCTATCACCGATTATAACATGACTGCTCATCAGGAGGTCTCTGAGCACTCCACAGAGCGGTCAGCATCGTTAGGAACACGTTCCTGATGGAGCAGCATGGAGCCCAGACCAGACCAGCTCACTGTGCTGGGGAGCCAGGAGCTGCTGCTGAAGGATTTCCCACCCTCTCCTAAACCACACATTTTTCCTCCTTCCCATCCCATTGACACGTTTTGCCACCAAACCACATCCACCAGAATTCTCCATGCCTGCACAACACGTAAGGCTTTGCTACCATTCTCCTAAGGCCATCGTCTTGCTAAAGCCAACAATGCCTCTTTGCATTCAATTAAATACTTGGTGCATGAGCACAAGACAAGTTCACATCCAGCCCTTGCGCTGATACACGCCCATGCGGTTACATCTTCCGCAGCAACAGGCATTCAAACACCCTACGACTGCCACTGGCCATGCTCAGAAGTTACCACTCACCAAAAAGCTACAAGAAGCTTTCATTTTCAGTGAAAACTGAGGTTCTTCAGATGCATCTGTGAAGTCAAAGGATCCCAGGCAGCAGAGGAGACAGCAGAGCGCATGCCTGGGCCAAATGACTTGGTGCTTTCCTGCCTTCCTTGTGCTTCTCTGATGGTTGCCACCAGCAGGGTAATACCTTGCATTTCCTAGGACACCTTAAGATTTGCAGTCCCATCCCATAGCTGCCTCACTGAAAGGCTCAGCAAATACAAGGAAACCCAGACACAGCTTATATGGTCCAGAATCGTAGCAGAAAAACAGAATATCCAACAGAATATTCATGAAAACCCAGGGAGATCAAAGCCGCAGCATCCCATTGCAGCAGGAGGGTTACACCAAGCAGGTGCACCAGTGGACTGGTCGCTGAGGTCCTTTCGGAAACCAGAGTTGTGTCCACAGGCCTCTGCTAAAAAAGAAACCCTACCTGCAGCAAACAAGCCCTGGGTGCTCCCATCACCTGGAAATACAGAGTGCCCATCTCTCCCAGGTTTGCTTTACTCCTCCTGACTCCTCAAACTACTTAGCGAAGTTTCTGGTACAGTGATTAGCATCATTAGCCGAACGCTGAGGTGGAACATGGCTGAAGCACTTGGATAGGAGCAGATGGCAGCAAGACCACTTGAGGAGGTGAATATGAGGATCCACTCCATCCCACAGCGCTGAACTCAGCTAGTGATAAAATACTTCGGCGGTTTTTACAAGGAGGGTCATTCACATCCAGAAAGTGATGCGAGAGATTTCCTGGATGCTGCCAAGAGAGCAGTGGGCTGAGGTGCGGACCTCTGACCAAATCAGGCACCTAGAGATCTGCTACACCTCTAGAGAGATTCCCCTAGAGTGATGTCTCCTAAAGCTGACATTACTTCTACCTGTGCTGAGGAATATTAGGGACAATATGCCCAACCTTCTCAGTTCCAGCCAGCTTTGATTAGCAAAAGAAAACCCATAGAGATCCTCCTGGACACCCCTGTAACCCCGTAGGTGGGAGGGACTCACAGGATATGAACGTACAAGGGAAGGAGACCTGCTGAAGAAGGAAGTTTTTTGTGGCTGCCACCACAAGATGTCCAGGTAACGTGCAGCAGTTTTACATTCCAGGTTTTGTCATGACACACACATTTTTATCATGACAGGATGGCAGGAAAACATCATTTTTCAATACAAGCGTGCATGGCTCATGTGGACCACAATCCCAGTCACACCTACCATTTCCAGAGGACACCTCCCACAGCCATGACCCCAGCAGCAGTCCCCTTGGGTTCTCCCAGGCTCATCATCTCCCAAGCCCTTTACCGTTGCTGTCCCTGCCTCAGACTGGCAGCATGCCCTTTTTTCCACTGGTGCCTGAACCAAGGCGGCAGACAAGACCTGCTGTTGGGACTAGCAGTCCCTCGTAGCCGCTCTCGCATCGCTCCCATCCCACCTCTACAAAGCTTTGCAATAGTAACAGTGCCAAAAGCCAGAAATGCCGATTATGCCGTAAATCCCCGCTGCACAGAAGCGGTGGGAGATGCAGTCGTACCCTGCACAGGGCAGCTCTGCCGCCTGCTCCGCTGCCTCTGGGACCGCACTGGCAGTAAGTGATGGCAGAACATCTGTCACCGGTGAGATCTTTCACTTCCTCCGCAGGGACACAGCGTGTCTAGACCAATGTTTCACTCTGGATTGGTTTTATACCTTTTTTCCTCCGGGCACACACAGAGCTGAGTATTTTTGTCACACAGATGGCAAGGTCACAGAAACTCCCCTTATGAAGTTTGTGATGTTCCTACAGGACCCCACTCCAAAGCCCCCTCCAGCCCCGCAGAAGAACTTTCTCCTGTTACAATGCAGCTCATCTCTCATCTCAGCCACCATATTTCAGGGGCACCTTTTCTTCTGATCCAGGCCCTATCTTCCTCAAGGGAAGAAGCTTGCTTTTGTACCTGCCTGCAAAGCACCAGGCATGCCAGTGGTGCGACAAAAATAACTGTGTACAAGCAAGTATGCACAGGATGATTTAGGCTACAAAGTCCCACGCTTGCAAACTACAGAGTATGATGCTTATTATTGCCTGGACGTCTTTCATTTAGTTCATTATGTACCTGGTCTAGATCCTGAAACACAGAAGGGTCCTGAGTTTAAAAAAAAAAAAAAAAAGAGCATGATCTGTATAGCACAGCACATCAGCACAAGGGAAAGGTTGCATCAGCAACCTGAGGTCTGCCATTTTTTAAGCTTGATGAACTTCCACTTTACAACACAGCAACATTTTAACAGTAGCTCTTTTTGGAGGGCTTTGGAGGACATCTCCTAGGTTTCTCTCCCAAAAGGATAAAGCTAAACACTGCATTATGCTTCAGCGCATCAATTTGCAATCAGTAGCATTCAAACCCTGAACCTTTACTACTGCATTAATTAATTCAGTGGGACAGAAGGGTGTCTCTCATCAGCTAGCAGTGAACGTGGAGGGTGTCAGAAGGAGTCAGGGGACCTGCTCCTCTCCCTGCTCCTTGGCACAGCGACAGTAGAGCCCGAGCGCTGCCTCAGACCATGTGTTCTCATCAGGATCCCAGGGGAGATGTACAGATGGATGAGAGATAGGAAATGGTCATTTTCAACCATTCCAGCAAAACCTGTATGTATTGTCACGGTACAAAAAAGGCACTTCTCTAGTCCAAAGCTGACTGCTCTTCAAAAGCAATCAAGGGAGGTGTTAGCAATCCCCTAGCACAGACCAAGTTTTCACAACAGAAAACATTAGACAAACTAAAAGTGGGGGTTGCTTTTAGCACCCCTTAAGCAAGTCATAAATGGCGCTGTCAAACAGTCATTGCAAACTCATTCCAGGAGACAATCACAAGAAAGCATCATCTCCCACACGAGAGGACCACCTTCTGCAAGCATTAGTATGGTCCCTCTTCAGACAGCTGCCAAGAGGAGTCCTCCCAATGACCCACGTCCCCACACCCACGTACATCCACCAGATGATGCAAAGAGCTATTGCCAAGTCTACTTACCTTTCCACCCAGCTCTTGTAGTTGGGGATGTCCTTGGCGTACAGTAGTTTGTTGGAGGGAGAGTCTTTTCCTAGCTTGTGCTCAGAAGTTGAGCAGGAGTCCATGAATGTCTGAGCCACCACGGATAGGCAGGCATCAGTAATACTGTTCTTGTGAATGTCGAACACAAACTGGGGGTTCTTAATCACATTCACCCAAAAACGTAGAGGTAGACTGAGGGAAGAAGGAAACAGGAGTCAGCACCTGAACTGAGCCCTGCATGGTAACTAGCGCACATGCCAGTTGCGGAGGAGCTCCCCATGACCCAGAACTGGGCAGGATGCTTTCCCAGCACCCCAGGAATGCAAACAACCTGGGGTAAACAGCTGTTTCCCTCTGCCCCATTGCAATACCACCTCCTCTGCCCACCCCCACATGGCCACAGCTCTCCACGGAGAAATTCCTCAGCGCTGCCAACATCTCCAAAGGTAAAGCAGGGCAGTGCAGACCCGCGGTTTCGCCAAGGATCCGCTCATACTGAAGAGCCCTTGCTGAGCTCACAGGTCAAACCAGGCACGGTCCCCTTCTCTCGCATCAATAAGCCCGTCTACGGCGCCGTGTGGCATTTCACACATCTCTCGTGTCTGAGGAGGGGGTTAACTGGATTCCTCGGGACTCATTAGCACATTTAACACCACAGGAGAATTTAGGCAGCCTCAGATGTTGGAAATAAAGCTCTCAGCTGTAGAGGCAGCGGGTCTCCTGGCCAGCCACTGACGGGATGTTTGTTGCGTACTGACACACATGCCACTATCCACAGCTCCATTTCCCAATCCTGCTGCCCCTCTCCTCTCCCAGGAGCATCTCTGGGTCTCCCCCCCTCAGAAAGCCTCTCTGTTCCGTCATCTCTCAGCACCAACACCCAGTGAATGCTTTTATCTTAGACAAAACACACTTTATTCCCCAGGACTTTCCTAATGAGGGTACTGGGTGCATGTACATATTTCATTTGTGAAGGGAATGGCCTCGAGAAATTAGCTCCACACATCGAATTAGTGCCCAGAGATAAGCACAGACATTAGTATGCAGGAGCCTGCACGCCCAGCCCCTGCGGAGCGAAGCTTTTTTTTCCTCCCTTGCCTTTCGTTCCTTCTTTTAATATAGAAAGCCAAGTTATAAATCAGTTCCAAGCACTTCCGCACTCTCACATCTCCATTTAAAAATGTTTCTTTTCCTGCCCTGCTAATTGCCAACAGTTACTGAACTATACAAAAGCAATTTGGCTGCCATTTAACAAATGCCAGACATGGGAATGTACGTACCCGTCTCCAGTAACGGCAAGATCAGAGAGATGAAATCAGTGAGGCAGCAGAAAAGAAAAATGCCGAGGGGGGGCTGCGGAGCAGGAGCCAATGCCTGATAAAGCCCCAGCACCGCACTTACGGAGGTCTCATCAGCCGCTCTGCCCCGCTTTTCAGGGAGCTATTAGCAGAGCTGACGGGCTGGCTCTACAGGCGAGCTTACGGAGGACGCACAGACGGCTTTACGCTGACTTTGTTAGGGCACGCGTGGCTGAGCAGCGGGAGGGAGCATGGAAACACCTTTAGGACAGTCAAGACAAGAACTGGGGCTGGCATCTCCGGAGGAGCCCGGAGGACAGAGAAGGCTGAGCTGCCTTTGCTCAAGGTGAGATGGGAACAGAGCCGCTGCGGTCCTCAGCAGACTCCAGCCGTCAGGGGGAGCGTGGCGCCTGGGATTTGGGAAGTGTGGCGCCTGGGATTTGGGGATGGACGGGCTGAGGGAGCATTGCATTCCTGGGATTTTTTTCTGCTGCAGGAAGGCATGCAAGGGATTTACCCACACCCGAACTACAGAGATATGGGCCTCTCTTGTCCTGGATCATTTCCAGAGACATATTTCTGCTCCCTGTATGAGGGGTTGGAAGTATCGTTAGCTGTGCTATCGTTAGACCCCCATCCCACTGCCCCTCTCCATTACCAGTTACTCTTCCAGGTGTGCCTGACATCGTAATCATTGATCTGATGCTTATCGGCTTGTTCATCCAGGAAATCAAACATGTATTTGATGGCGAGGGGCAGCGCACTCCCACGATGTGCTGTGCTGAAGATGGTCTCAAACAGGTCATCCACGAATTTCTGCAGGGTGCCCTGAAGAGGAGAGAGAGAGAAGGGCCGCTCAGCAACACCCAGCACCAGCAGAGAGATGAGCCAAAGGTCAGCCTTTAAACCTATTTCACTTTATTTCTACCACCTGGAAGAGAAGCACAGCACAGTCTGTGTAACCCTACTGGTTCTCAGTGGTTTACACTGGGAAACAGACACTGCAGCCATGAGGTATCTCCTTCACTGCATAATCTGGCATGCTAAAAAGCAGACAAATAACAACGCCACACAGAGCAAAAACCAAGTGAATGTATGTCATATCATGGTCTTGTTTGGATCCTATTAAGGTACCCAGTCTCTGCAATCCTGAGCCAGAACCTTCAGCACAGCCCTCCGCTCCTCTCTAGGGACATCTCAGACACACAGCACCCACTTGGCACTAGAGAATGTTTTGGATGTGCTGAGGGAAGGGGAACCCGCTGCGATGCCAAACGCCCTGGGTAATTACCCTTCCCACATCACTGATTTTGCAGCTTTATCCCAAACACCAAAGGGGATGAGGTGCTTGCTCCAGGGCATCTCTGCTTTGCAGTCCAGCAGTTGCTCAAGGGTACAGGGAACAGTAAAAATGCCGAAGGGTGCAAAAAGCAAATAGGAAAATCCCCTCAAGGGATATTCATTGAGGGTTTTGAAACACAAAAACATCACTTCCAGCTCAGGAAAGAGGCCAGGAAAGAGAGTAGCTCCTCCTGTGCTGAAGCAGAAGGCAAATAAAAAAAGCAATGCTTACCACTTTTGCACAACCCAAATCACTGTCCTTCCACACTCAGATTTAAAAAGCCAGACAGCAGCTCTGGGCCGTACCTTGGTGGCTAACAGGCGGGTCAGGTAGATTTCAGAGACCATCTTGCTGCCCCGGTCGCCCTCCCGCTGGTCCATGTGGTCGTGGTTTTTCACCAGGTGCCAGAGCTTGGTGCCGCTCTCCAGGTCAGGGGTGATCATGGGGGTCCGTGAGCGCAGGCTGTCGGGGCTGCTGGCTGTCCGCAGCATGCTCTCTGCAAGCATGGAGCAGGGGGGGACACTTGTACCCTGCCCATCTCCGCCTCGATGCCAACCCCTCCGTCCCCCTTCCCTCCACTGTGGCTTCAGGGCACATCACAGCTGTGAAATGGGAGCTTTGGGATCCAGCCTCTGCAGTCACTGTGGACTGGGAGCCTTGTGGGGACTGTTCTCACAGCCTGCCAGGCTATCATAGAATCACAGAATGGTTTGGGTTGGAAGGGATCTTTTAAGGTCACCTAGTCCAACCCCCCTGCAATGAGCAGGGACATCTTCAACTAGATCACGTTCCTCAGAGCCTCATGCAACCTGACCTTGCATGTTTCCAGCGATGGGGCATCCACCACCTCTTCTGGGCAACCTGGGCCAGGGTTTCACCATCCTCATTATGAAAAATTCCTTCCTTATGTCTAATCTAAATCTACCCTCTTTTAGTTTAAAACCGTTACCTCTTATCCTTTAGCGCCTGCTAAAACATCTGTCTCCATCTTTCTTACAAGCCCCCTTCAAGTACTGTCAGGCTGCAGTAAGGTCTCCCTGGAGCCTTCTCTTCTCCAGGCTGAACAACCCCAGCTCTCCCAGCCTGTCCTCCCAGCAGAGCTGCTCCAGCCCTCGGCGCGGCTGCAGTAAGGTCTCCCTGGAGCCTTCTCTTCTCCAGGCTGAACAACCCCAGCTCTCCCAGCCTGTCCTCCCAGCAGAGCTGTTCCAGCCCTCGGAGCATTGCTGTGGCCTCCTCTGGCCCCGCTCCAACATGTCCATGTCTCTCCTGTGCTGAGGGCTCCAGAGCTGGATGCAGCACTGCAGAGTGGGGCAGAGGGGCAGAGTCCCCTCCCTTGCTCTGCTGGCCACGCTGCTTTGGATGCAGCCCAGGAGATGGTTGGCCTTCTGGGATGTGAGCGCACATTGCCAGCACATGTCCAGCTTTTCACCCACCAGGACCCCCAAGTACTTCTTGGCAGGGCTGCTCTCAATCCCTTCATCTGATACCAGGGGTTGCCCTGACCCAGGTGCAGGACCCTGCACTTGGCCTTGTCGAACCTCATGAGGTTCACATGGGCCCATTCCTTGAACTTGTCCAGGTCCCTCTGGATTGCATCCCGTCCCTCAGGAGTGTCAACGGCACCACTCAGCTTGGTGTCATCTGCAAACTTGCTGAGGGTGCACCTGATAACACTGTCTGTGTCACTGACGAAGATATTAAAGAGTACTGGTGCCAATACAGACCCCTGAAGGACACCACTCGTCACTGATCTCTATCTGGACATTAAGCCATCGACCACTACCCTTTGGATGCTGATGTACAGAAGCCAGGACCGTCACGGAAGGGGTTCTGCAGAGGTCTGTCCTGCTCCCAGCACACAGGTGTCAGGATCACAGATGCCTCTTGTGTCAGTCTGAGCTCACTAGACAAATCAAGGCTGAAGTACACTTGCCAGTGTGTTCGCTGGAGTCCTCAACTCTAGTCATTTAAGTGCAGAGTGCCTCTGTGCCTATTTTAATTAGATTTCAGGGGAATAAAAGGGAGGGGATCCCTTAGCAGCAGCCATCTGACACACATCTTTCTCCCCCGATTCCGACACTTTGCAAAGAGAGATGGTTCTGAGGGCATCTGCTCCCTCTCCAACATCAGAATAAATAGCATGGTGCAGGAGAGACAGGTGTTTGGATTGTAACTGTGCGCCGCAGTTACAATCACCTGCCCTGTGCCTTGGTCTGCAAGCCCAGCCCAGTGCTGCCTCCCCTGCCCACAAAGCAGAGGATGCCCTGCCCGCTCACCGTATCTGCTGAGGGACTTGGTGAAGGTAGAGGAGTTGGAGATGTTGTACGCCGAGTTCTGCTTGGGCACCAGAGCTACCGAGGAGCCATCCGTCACCTGGGGGGAGAGAAGGCGTGAGCAGGCTGCAATACCAGAGGGGCACAAGGAGGAACAGCCCTACAGCAGCAGGGAGAAACCAGCCCAGGAGGGATGAAGCTACACTGCACCCCACCCCGGGGACATCCATATCCAGCAAAGGAGACCTACATATCATATCTCTGCGACAGCTCAGGGTAAGGGGTCAGAACAGGAACACACCAGAAACCTTGGCATGAAAATGGCCAAGGTCAGAGCAGGAAACAGCCTCTGTGAGTCCTGGAAATGCCCCACAGTGCTTCCTTGAACACAAGGACTACAAACATGGGGCCCAGGCAGGGAAGTGACTGCAGACCTCCTGGCCATACCCCTGCCCGAGCAGCACGGTCTGGAGAGCTGAGCACAGGCCCTGACCAAGCTGAGAAGGGAGAAGAGATGCTCAAGCTCAAAGCAGCTGGTGACTCAGTGCCCTCCACCATGGACAACCTTACCTGGTAGTGGGCCAGAGTGTTTAGCCTCTTCCAGTCATTGTCGATCTTTGTGGTGACATCTTCGTCCTGCAGTATGATCCGCGCCATCCTGCCCTGCCGCCACTCTGTCCCCAGGAGAGAGAAGGGCTCATGGTTAGGGAGCGATAGGAGCACAAAGCTGAGGCAAGGGTAGGAGCATGGTCTGGGCATCAACAAAAGAGCCCTCCCACCACCTTCTGAACCCCAGGACTGATGATTATCAAGATGGTGCTGGGCAAAAGCTGTTTCTAAGTACTCAAGGAAAGACAGCATCGATTTGAACCTGGCAACTGTTTCCTTTGCTCTTCTCCTCTTCATTCTCCTGCCCCTCCTTTAAGAACAGGACTATTAACACTTTTCTCAAATATTGCTGGCCTCCTTGGACCTCAGCCACTTCAAGCCTGCAATCCAGACCACAGCCAGAGCTGAGGCGGCTCCTCTCCCCATCCTCTCTACTGGCAGGACCCACACTCTCATGCCAGGGGTCCTCACATGCAGTCAGTGCCACCAGCACAGCAAAAGTGGACTGGACAAGCACAAATGCTCTGGTCCTGCCAGGTCTCCTCTCCTGCAGGAGATGCAGGTTTTCCTGCCTTGAACAGGTTTTTTGGCACTTCTGCTCTTAGTCACATGCCTGGTCCCCACAAGGAAGTGCTTGGCCTCTCTCTTACCCAGGTCCATGTCTCCAGCTTTGGGTCGCTGGGAATAGGGCACACCCTTGTAAACAGCGTCCAGCAGCTTCTCTTTCACCTGCGTGATGGTGTCGCAGTTCAGCACCTTGACAGGGATCTCCGGGGCGTTCTCATTCTCGGGGTTCACACAGTTGAGGGTCTGCACAGCACAGTGGGGCAAGAAAGACTCAAGTGAGAGGTTGTGACCTTGCAAAAGCAGGTCCAAGGCCATAGGGCTACAGCTGGCTACAGGCCATGTCTTCTCACCTCCCAGGCCACTGCAGAGTTGCAGCCATGCGGCACATTCC